CCAGCGATGGGTAAGTTCCAAACATCGATGGGAAGCCAATATCCTGCAGATCCCAAATTTATTCAATCCCATAAATCAAGCCAATCACCCCTTTAATGCATTGGTCCGTTGGAGCCTATTTTGGCACTATAAAAAGGGGTGTTTGGGTCTGCTTTTATCATCAATTCACTTCACTTTATTCATATTATCATTGCATCCAAACAACATTATTTTCCATAGCTTTCTAGAGCCAATTTGTGAAGTTTGAGTTGTTCTTGAGCGTATATAGTTTACTCAACATCTACTCTTAAAGAGAGTCTTGTTCTTGAGTGTCTTAGTGTTGTATACACGTTAAGGGAAGCTTGTTTCCCTTGGTTGTACGAAGGAAAGGTATTTTCCTTTGGGTTGAAGTCTTGAAGTGCGGTATCTCCGAGCAAGTGTTGTTGAGGCTCGTGGGACTCGAGTTCTCAGGTTCTAACGGTTTGTTAAGCACCCGTAAGCTTAACGGAAGTAGTGTAGCTCGAGAGAGTCTCTCGGGAGGCTGGATTAGCCACAAGTTGTGGTGAACCAGGGTAAAATTCAGTGTGCCTCTTACTCTTCTCTTTACTTCTCTTTTAAGTTTTTTTTATTCCTGCGATTTCTACGATCAAACGCTATTCACCCCCCTCTAGCGTTGGTCACTTATTCTAACACCTTAAAGAGAGAAGAAGAGAATACTATTTTGTGTTCAAAGTCATTTTTCTAAAGTGTTAGAAATATGCACAAAATATTATAAAGAAATATTTATAAGATAAATATTTTACTATATATTTATTATTCCCCAAAGTAGTAATATTATAGTTTTACTATCCTATATTAAACTTGTTAGCACAAGTTAAATCTAGGACTCCAGAGCTATCCTTTATATATAAATTTGAAAGTTTGATGCATAAAATCTTGACATGTAGCACAATATGGAGTATATATGTGGCAAAATTTGGGACATATTATGTGGCATTTCATTTTTGAGCTAGACTCCATTAAATATTATTTGACATGTGGTTAAACTTTTATTTTTGATCAAAAATAAAATTATGAAAAATAATTTTTTAAATAAATTTTTTATTAAATTATTAAAAATAAAAATGTTCAATAAATCCTTTATATAAAGTTATTAAACTTTTATGTTTAGAAAGTTCATATATGCATTACTTATGTGGCTTTTTACACCTAATATATATGACACATAATTTAAGACATAAAATATGAAAAAGTATTTTGGTATGGAATATTTGAATAAATTTAATTATGAAATATTCACATTCATTTTTATAATAATACTTTTCCATGATTCAATATTTTTTCTTCATTTCTAACAAATTTTTCAATTACCTAATACACTACTTTCATCCCCTCTAAATAAATTTCACATGATTGTTTGTTTATGATAAGTTAAAATGGATTTAGTTTTGAATATACTTCTTTCAATATTGATATGAAATAAAAAACAAACAACATATTTTAAAAAATACATTAGTCATTAAAAAAAGATATGGTTGGATTGTAATAATGTTCAAGTATAAAAAAGATCACTATACATAATTTTGTAATTAATTATTTTAATTTTATAATTTTAGTTAATTACAATAAAATTTATACTTTATAGGATTTTAGATGCTTTATCATTTAACTTTTAGCATGGATATATTAAGCGTTTATATATACTTTTGTATAGGTTTTTCCCATAAATAATTAACTTAAAATAATAATGTAAAACAATTTTAAAATATACAAACCAATGTAAATATTATTCATAAAATTTGAAACTAAAATAACATTACCCTTGAATTTAATTAGAATATTGAAACAAAAAAATGAAAACAAAAAAAAGAAACAAAAAATTTAACCATATAATGTTGGTTAAAGAGAAAAAATTAGAGATCTTTTTCAGAGAATATTCGTACATATTGGGAATATGATTTTTTTAAAAGAAAAATATTATAATTTTAATAAAACATTAAATATAGTAATTTGCAATATTACTTGCCTTTTTTCAATTTTAAATCTTATAAATTTAATGAAACATTAAATATAGTAATTTACAATATAACTAGCTCTCTCTTTAGATTTGTTACTTAAATCACTCAATTTTAGAGTCATATTAATAAAAATAATTGATGCCGTTAAAATTCAATTACAAAATGTTCAAATATAATTCAAGAAATGTGTAATTTCATATATCACCATCACTAGAGCTTAAATACACACACGTTCAGAGAGGATTAATGTTCTGATTAAACATTAAAATAAGTATTCAAACTTAATTTTCTTTTTTTAAGTATAGTTGGTAGGAGCATCTAATTTTTCTATAACAATTGAAAACATGGAGTATTAACTTAATGAGAGATAGACGAAATCAACTAGAAATGCAAGAGAAAGGAGAAATGAAACACTTCAACAAAAAAGCACATAAAAAGGTGCATATTTTTACAATTATTGTTTTATTTTAGTAATTCAGCATACATGTATCACAATCCAAAATATCTTTTGGAGGTTTCCTAGGAGTCATATGTAATTAAACTCTAAAACCGTTGCTTTAGATTTTTTACGCATGCTTCTTTTGTGTATAGTATCCTAGCTATTTAATGCACACATATTTAAAATTTTTGAAAATAACTAAATTAAAAAAAACATTACTGGCTATAATTTCTTCATTGTTTTTGAGGGAACAAAGACGATTGATAGGCCGCTTGCAATGTGTGCCAATAGGAATAGAAAAATTGTACTACTTGGAAATACTATTAGCCGTCTAATGGGGATGTACAAGCTATCAGAGTTTGAAGACAGTTACCAATGATGTTATACAAACAAAACTCATTCGACAATGCATGTGAAACATTGGTATTATTTTTACCAATGATAAAGAATTTATTGAAGATATAAAATAGACTATTGAGCTAGATTTCAGAGTTAGCTAAGAAAATTGTTAGTCACATTATTAGTGACAAATACCATGTGTCGTTCTTAAGTTGTTTGGGAAAAATAATGGAAGCTCTTGGTTTATTTCATTGATGAAATTGCAAAAACAAGATCTTTCTATAAAAGGTAATTTTTTTTATTTATATAAAGATCAATATGAAATGTACTCCGTATGATATAAATACAAACTTTAGACTTGAGATATGGGTTAAAATCTAATGATTTAGTTCCATTTTAACCACTTTTGTAGAACTTATTACTTTTCAAGAAGATCTAAAAACTTTATGTTTGATTGAGATTAAAAAGTTACTTAATTCAAATAGATGATCATTATAAGAGTTTAGTGATATGTCATTCCGAGATGACAATCCACTTAATAGATTTTAAAATAATTTATCTTGGTAGAGGAGTTGAACTATGACAAATAAAAGTTGTCATATGATCTTAAATACTCCCTCCGTCCTAAATCCAACTTCCCAGATTGACTAAAACCCATTTTTTAGGGATTGATTAATATGACTTTGACTTCCAAAAATGCCCCTCCATCTAAACTCGAAAACATAAAAGTTTTCTGCCTTTTCCAGTAATTGGGCAGTGTAAACGGTGCTCGGGCGGCCTACTCCCCGACAATAAATAGGGCTGTCAACGGATAGCCGAAAATCCAATAACCGTCCGCATCCGTATCCGTTTAAAGAAGAAATATTCGCATCCGTTTTAAATGGATATTATATGTATCCGATTAAGGATATCCGATTACTAAACGGATACGGATTTGGTAATTGTATATCCGATCCGTTTAAAATCCGATCCGTTTAAAATCCGATCCGAATATGCATCCGTTTAAATAACCGTTTATCCGAATATCTGATCCGTTATATATAGTTTTTTCTAATGTTTTTATGTTTATATTTTGTTTCTCTATTGATATTTTAAAGTATAATACATTTTTATATACAAAATAAATGTGTAGACACATAAAAATATGTACAGACATATAAAAATATGTGTATATGTGTGCTGTGTATATCTTTTTATCATATGAAATTATCGTAGAATATCATAAATCATGAAAACAAAGAAAATATTATCCCATAACAAATTATAGTTGATTTAATAATAGTTTGACTTTAATCCAATTTAAAATTAAAGTATTGTTTAATTTGATTTTAAAAATTGGAAACGGATACGGATAAATCCGATATCCGACCGATGCGGATACGGTTTTGATTTTCAGTATCCGTCAAGATCTGTATCCGGATTCGATATGCGACAAAAATAAACGGATACGGATTTGGTAATGGCACATCTGATCCGATTAATATCCGTTTACACCCCTAGCAATAAATGACTGACATACCCACAATTAACATGTCTAGCCTGATCGAAAAGCATAGCCGCTAATGAAGCGGCATGTAAATGTGGCCAAATAACAAAACAATTGGTGAGTAACAGATTGAATAACCAATCGAAAAAGGACTGAATTGTGATTAAAAAATAATTGAAAAAAACTCTAGATGGCTATACAAAAAACATACCTAGGCTAATTTCCGATTGAAAGTAGCGGCTAATGAAGCTCATCATCATCTCCAATTCCGTGAAGCTAATTAGACTTCGAATCACATACCAGCGACCTTACTACTCCGGGCAGGGTCCTTCTTGCAACCCCAATCCCAAGATGTCGAGTGGAGATGTTGAGATGCCGAGATTCTGAGTGTGGAGGGGGGGGGGGCTGATGATGATGAGACAATATCAAGAACGGAGATGGTTGCATGTTTGATCCCAAGATAAGATCTAGGTTTTGAGAACGAGAATTGAAAGAGAGACGAAGGTAAGATGGAGATGGAATGTCGACAGAGTGGGAAGGCTGGGGAGTAGATGTTTTAAGGGTAGCATTTTCATTTTACACCCTTTTGGGGATGTGGGAAGGTAATTTTAGGACATTAAAAATGAAGAAGTGGGAAGATAATTTTAGGAGAGGGAGTAATATATATCTACAATGAATGAAAACCAGAGGAAGATACACGACGATGAACGCTTTACGTTTTGTTATGACTATGGGAAAAAGTCAATGTCAAATATTATCATATGTTGAATGATTTTTAACTAGGTTGAAGTTCACTCATATTTCTGTACTCATAGTTAACTTTATAACCAATTATTAAATGCCAAATTATTTATTTTACTTTGATTTTAATGTTTACAGAGTTAAAGAACGCATTACATATATTTATGTACTCATTTAAAAAATATTACACTGAAGATAATTCAAAAAATCAATAAAAATTTTGTTCGACCTCGTGTGTGGCACGGGTTAAATTAGTAGTTACTAGTTACTAGTTAGTAGTTACTAGTTCTATAATATTTGAGACTCATGTCTCTAAAATGTTGACATGTGTCATCCTACATGGTATGCTTTAAATTCTCATTTAATATGTATGATAACTTTTAAAAGTTGAGGAGTTTAAAACAATGTATTTTGTATTAAAAATCATGGTTTTTTAAACTTATTGAAAAGTATGCAAACGAAATAAAAATATAAGTTTTCTTAAAAAATTAAATAAATTATTCATAAAAAAGAAACTAATCATGATTAACCCGGTCTTCTTTTTCATAAAAACAACAATGATATTAAACGTATTAATCTATTCTTTTGTATGGAAATTTATTGAGCTAAAATATAGCTCATTTTATATCACCTAATTAAAAATGAAAAATTGATTAAAGAAAATTAGTTCGTGATGGGTCTTAATCATATATTTGATCATTTTTAGTAAGAAAATTCTTATGGTTTAATTCTTTTCAAAACCTTTTAATAATTATAATTTCCTTAAAATTAAAATACTACAAGGAATATAAAAAAATCTATCAAGATTTAAATTTTGTTATGATATATTATATGTTGCATTCACATCACGTTACCGATAGTCTTTAATAGTTCATTTATGAAATAAGGAGTGTTTATAGCGGATAAAACTTTTGTTTTTAAATGAAATAAGTTACAAAAAGGAAATACAAATTTTAAAAAAAATTTATTTCCATCATCTTTGTTAGTATGACTTTTTGGCACATAATTTTTTATAGAGAAAAAATATTATATAAAAAAATTGAGAATTGAAAAAAATATAATCTTGATATTCATATATTTATAGTTTAAAGTACTAAATGACACATATAGAGTAGAATATATTAAAATAGTTTTAGTGCTCCGTGTGGTTTGAAAAATAGCTATGAATAAATCATTTGTTTTTAAAATTTATTAAAAAAATGTTTGTCACTTCAAAAAGCTTGCACAAGCACCACCTAGGTTTGTATTATTTTTCCTTCAGTTTTGTGTAAAAAAGGGAGAACATTAATGCCTATTTCCAATCTACATGGGCATAATGCCTATTATCATTCTTCAACTTATTTTTTGAATTCTTCTTTATCATGTTTTAAAATTCAAATTAGTTTGTATTTGAAATGAAAAAAACCAAAATAAAAAACATATAACATACACTTTCTCTATCTAAAGTTAAACATTTCCGTTTTTAAACTTTCAAAAGTAAACAAACTATTTTTTATACATTCAAAAAATAAAAATAAAATAGATATATAAAGAAAGAAAACAAAAGAAAAATAGAAAAAGGAAATGAAAAAACAAAAGGATGCAAAAATTCTCTGATTGAAAGTTGATTGATAAAGTTTTCTTTGGAACGTCCAAAAATTTAAATTTTTGGATAAAACTCTTCCAAAATAATAAAAATAAATACTTTTTTGGACCGATGCTTAACAATTTCAAAGTATTGTAAAAATGTCCTCTTATTATTTTTAAATTTAAAAAGAATAATATTTTCTAGACATTGCAAAAAATTATCACCCCTATCCATCGCTACAATTTTATCTTTTCTATTAGAGTATTTTTGTATGTTTTTCTTTTTTCATTTCCTTCTGTTATTATTTTATTCTATTTTATTATTCTATTCCTGATTTTTTCTTGAACGTCCCAAAAAGTAGTTTTTTTTGTTTTAGAAAATTAAAAAAATGTTTAATTTGTAACAAATAGAATATATGTTATATTTTTATTTTCTTTATTTCAAACATGAACAATTTTGAAATTTAAAATATAATAAGGCATAATTATAAAAAAAATTAAAAAAAACTTCTTGAAGTGAAACAAAGAGAAAAAAAAGGAGAAAAAAAAAGAAAAAAAATGAATAAAAATTAAAGCACGTTCTTGTGCCCCTATGGTTTAGAAAATGCGTACTAGCCCCCACTTTAAAACTTCAGTTGCACTCCCGTAGCATGAAATACAAACGCCTGAGTTTCACTAATGGAGGGGGCATACATGAAACTTTTGGAAATCATATAGATTTATAACTAAGTTTTGAAAAGAGAGCTAATATCATTGGTCGAGGCTTATTTTTCAAATCACAAGGGCACAGGAGCTATTCTTCCATGTTTTAAGATATAATACTAACAGAAAGACAAAATATTTGTATATCATTTATATATAAAAAGTCGATTGTTAACTTGAGGAGCGCAACATGTGGCATACTAGTAAAATTAAATTTACTACTCTATAGTTCTCTAGCTTGTTATGTTTAAAACGTGTGGATGAGAATTGTATGATTCTTCACAAGTTACTATATTTAAATACAAAAGATAAGAAAATTTACAAATGAAGGGTTTAAAGAATCCAAAAATCAATTATATGCATGAAACATGATTTTTTATTATTAGTTACGTTTAAAAAAATTAATGACTCAATAATAGTCCTTTATCCTTTATATATAAAAATGAGACTCCAATCACTAGTATGTAGGCATGTGACATTCTTTAATTTATATGACATTTTTTTTTATCCAATTAATGAATTTCGGATATGAGTTATAATAATATTGTAGCGCTTCTCTAATTTTTTTCTCATTCAATTTGATTTTGGTTTGGATACATAGTGGTTCAGGGCATGGAAATACGTTTGAAATCAGGGTCTTCAAACCTTCTCTCTCTTAGATCAGTTATCATTTACTTCACATTCAGTCATTCACTAGGAAACTCAGTCTGACACACTCCCTCAGCATGCATGAAAGGTATTCTTTCCTCAGCTACAAAGAAAAAATAACAAAAGAAAAATTGTTAAATTAAAAATATTTATATTATTATCCATTATTATAATTTTAAAAGCATTCGATCATCAAGGCCATGTTTCAGAACAATATATTTATATGATTTAGCATTTTAGGAATATTTTTAATGATGTCGATCGATTTATTATGAAAATGCTACAAATCCTACAATTTCACTATGGCCCCGTTTGGTACACGGAATTCAAACTATGGAATTAGAATTGAAGACTTCAATTCCAATTCTGGTGTTTGGTAGCACAAAAATTGTGTGGATTTGAAATTGATAGTGCAAAAAATGAATTGGAATTGGTGAATTCAATTCTATGGAAATGAATCCCATAAAATTTCAATTCCAATTCCATCAATTCCATATACCAAACGGACCCTAAATCTAAATTTAAATTTTGAAGTTGTTCATGAGGACCAAATTTTATTCAAGCTTAGTTTTTAGTGTCTTAATTCCATAGAGTCTAGAATTCATATTTTAGATATAATTTTTTTCGCAGATTGAGACTTTAAAGTCGGACTTTCTTTTCAAATCTTTTACAAACATAAGATTTTAAATCCTGTAAGAAGATAGTATGCGTGCATATCATATTATCCTCTCTTAGCTTATTTGGATACGTGTATAATACGTTTATTCGTACATTCGTGTATAATACGGGTCACATTTTAAAAATATGTCTTATTATACACTTTATATGTTCGGCGTACGTATACGGATACGTTCGTGTTTTATACATTTGATTTTTGAAAAATCTGGCTTATAAATAATATAAATATTTTTAATAAGAAAGACAATTTTAACATTGAATTTGAATACGAATACATCATAAAAATTTTAAAACATCAATCAATGCAACGATTTATTATTTATTCACTTTTTCCATGTGTATCCAAAAGATATCTTTCAATAAACTAATACTCCCTCCGTCCCCAAATAAACTTCCACTTTCGTTTTTTCTTTGTCCCCAAAAAAACTTCTCTTTTCTCTTAAAAAACTACTTTTACCCCTTACTTTTTTCATACCCTACCTATCACATCATACCTTTTCACTAATAATCTACCCATCACATCTTACTTTTATCCATCACATCAAAAGTATTTTTGGAAAGTCAACACCAAAATATCCATCCCTTAATTTCCCAAAAAGTTAATAAGAGAAGTTTATTTGGGGACGGAGGGAGTATTATGTACTTCCACCAAATATAAGAACACATTAAAAATGAAACTAACATCTGGATACGAATGTAGAATTTGCTCAAACACGCGAAAAAAGTCATCTCTCCATTGTAGTTTTAGCTACGGCCGATGTTTGCCGTCGCAAATTGAAGAATATCGATGAGAACATCTACGACGGATATATTTACCGTAGCAAATTCGTCGCAGTTTTTCAATCTGCTATGAAAAAAGTTCTTTTGCGATAGAATTTTTTTCATAGAAATTCAGGTTTCTTTTGCAATGCCCGGTATATTATTAGACAATTTGAGTTTTACATACGAAATTGATTAAATGCTCATCACGAATATTAAATGAAGATTCAAGTCTCTTTGTAATATAAATACAAACTCATTAAATAATCTTTTACGCAATTTAAATCTGAGTAAAATGAAATCAACTTTATATACTTCATTTTTAGAATGAAAAATACAGTTACGAACTTTTATTTTTAGACGTAGATAAATACTTAACAAAAAAGCTAAATACAAAAAATTGATTACATTTTAAAAATCCAAAAAATTGAGAAAAAGTTGATGCCTACTATTTGTTAGAGCAGTAGGAGTGTTGGACTCCCAACCAGATGGAGTCGAAGAGACTGGTAGACCACGAATAATATTTAATTAACAAAAGACGTTGGTGAATGACTTGAACTTGATTCTGATTCTAATACTTTAAAATTGTTGAGTCGACAAAATTTAAAGATTTGTATTTTTGGGAAGAAGACAATCAAGTAAATTGATCTGATAAATAATTGACTTTCTAAATTTTGATTATTGGAGTCAAAAATAGAGGATTTTCACGATTTAATACGTATAAAAATGGTAAATATGTTTAGATTAAAAAATACGTATGTTATATGTTTCACTTGAAAAATTTGTATTGGGGGTATAATAAGCGTATTATAAGTACTCGTGTATAATAAGCCTAATATACGCGAGTAGCTTAACAGAGCCCCGGGTTGGAAGGTCCGACCAGTACGGTAGTTTCGCTCCAACTCCAAAATCAACCACAATCGCCATGATTGCTTTCCCCATGGCCACCACGAGGGTTGTGCCGGCCGTTATAATTGGCCGCGGACGAGTGGGAAAGGCCCTTCATGACATGGGAAATGGTGAAGATGTGTTGGTAAATAGGGGAGAGCGTGTGCCCTTGGACTTCCCCGGCCCCATCTTCGTCTGCACTAGGAATGATGATCTTGAGGCAGTACTAGAAGCTACCCCTAATTCTCGCTGGAGCGGTATTATACTTTTCATTTCTGCCTGCATTTTTGTACTCCATCTCCTCCGAGAACACCGTTCCATTTTTGTACTTAAAAGTTTAAACAATAATCATAGAATGATAAAAATATTCAGTTTTTTGGATTTGACTTTTCTATGGATTCACAATTTTAAAGATGGTTGAAATCTAAAGTAGTAATTAGATTTGCTTAATCTTTGCTGTTTTTTAAACTTTCAGTTTGTTTAATGTTTAAGCACAACAGAAGTCGGGTGATTTCTGGGAAATGGTGGACTGAGTGGTTTAAGTAAACGGTAATGGGTAGGCTATGTTAAGGTGAGTTGGGAATGATCAGGGGAAGGGATTAAGGGCAATTCCGAATTTCTTACAGAAAAGGAAGACTATACAGATTTAGGTTTCTATGAAGGAGCAGGGTGATTGAAGAATGGCATGTTTAGGGTATAATGAATTGGAGTACTGTCTTAAAATGGTTTAGCAATTCTGGGCTAAAAGCAAATGACACAACAGACGATTGGAGGTTTGGTTTCCTTAGTTCGTTGGCTGAATTTGGAATGGAAAAGGATAGGTAATGGATGTGCAGTAAAGGAAAAGGCAAGAGATTGATTGTTATAAGTGGCCATGGATTATCGGTGTAACAATGGACAATTGAAGGACCTGAATCAAGCTATAAATTTGCAATTCCAGAAACTGAGATATGCAGGCTCAGAACAAGTGACAAGGAACCATCTTTTGGTATTACACACGGCAAAGAACAATTACATCAAGAAGATATGACAGACCTCTTTCAACTAACAACCTACTAGATGATTTCTCAAACACTTCGCTCCCAAAAAACTAAATGCACTTGATTCTAAAATTTTGTCAAGACTCAACATAAAAGTTTTAGCATCCATCAAAGTCTGAGCTTTATTCATGAACTTCAAGGCTTATTTTTAGTCGGAACCAGGCATAAAAAACTCCATACTTTCTCCATAACAGCTCAGGGATAAGGGAATAGAAGCAAGAGAAAATCAGCTCCAGAATAATCAAGGATCTGGATGAAAATACCATGGAATAATACAACAACAACAACCCAGGTGAATCCCACAACAGTAGGGTCTGGGGAGGGTGTGTGTACGCAGACCTTGCCCCTACTCGGAAGTAGGGAGGCTGTTTCCAAGAGACCCCCGGCTCCACCTGCACAAAAATATGGAAGGGAACATAGTATAACACAGATAAAGTACCAAGTACAAGCAACACGTACAAGCAATAACAGAAGATTCCTAACAAATACAACACACTACAAAACAACCTCTACAACACCGAGCTCCTATCCAGCTACTCTAATCCTAGTTTTCCAAAGGTTCCTATCTAGGGCCATATCCTCAGTCAGGTCGAGAAGTCCTAAATCCTGCCTAATCACCTCCTTCCAATTCTTCCTAGGTCTACCCCTTCCCCTACTTCCCCCGATAACCGTAATCCTCTCGCATCTCCGTACAGGGGCGTCAGCATCCCGCCGTCTCACATGGCCAAACCATCTCAACCT